AGATTAGCAAAAAATTCGATCCTAATGGATTTTCCTGTCTTGAGATATTGAGACTCGAATATTTCACCTGAAGGTGAGGGTGAGGGTCAGATGTTCGAGTCTCAATATGTCAAGACAGGAAAATTCATTAGGATCGAATTTTTTCCCGTCGTACTACTATGACCATGGGCTACCAGTGTGGTAAGTTTCAACTGAAAATTCGAAAGTCGGATTTTGCTTGAAATCCTCTATAGGGATCCTCTATAGTTCTATAGGGAAAAACTGACTAAAAATTTAATATCTCAGCAACAAAGCACCATGGGGATCAACCAACTTAGGGTATTTCACTACTCACTGAGGTCTACAAGATACAAGTAGTCTGAGTTCAACAGCGATTTATAACCTCAATAGGTTCCTTCGTCAGCCCTGTGCGGTCCTGTCCTGTCTAAAGAATGACTCAAAAAGAATTCTTCCTGCCATGCCCTGCAGATCAGGATGCGTTACCTTGCAGGAGAAATATCAGAGGTTTACCTTTTTCGCGGCAAAGTGAAAAAAGGAGTCGAGAGAGAAATAGAGAAAAGAGAATCAACAGGCGTTGGGAATACGATCCGCACAGCATGCTAAACACAAGATGTCCTGATTAGCTGTATATTATTGTCTCTCGCGAAATCGTCGGGTTGAGAATTTAAGTCTAAGAGTCTTTGACGTTTTTGTCTTGAGCACACTTTACTACAGCCATGATTTAACTTTTTCGAGGTCTTAGGTCTGTCTTTAGTAATGTTATGTCGAGTAGTTCTGTTTTGGATATTATTGTATGCTGAAAAGATTCTTTTCCAGAAGAACTTTGTTTTCGAGAACCTAAAAATTGTGCTTTCTTATTAATTAAATTATAGCTAAATTTAGACTGTATAACTACTTTATTTTCGTCTGATTTCTGTACATCAAAATATTCATATATGTTCACACTCTCTTCTTCCAGATCGTTCTTTACATCGTGATGGTAGATAGTAAATAGTTCATTTAGTGTTAGTACTTCGTTAATATTGTCACTTTTGATTTGATTTAAGCTTTATTTAAATAAAAAAAGTATGTAAACAAAAATCGTTATCACTCTAACGTAGAAGCGGCTGTAGCCATTATATCACTGTTAGAAATTATCAGAATCGTAAAACATAGAACAACATACGAGTTAAAAAGGAAAAGTGTAAACATATGTGAGAAGTGGAAGAAAGAAAAGGAAAAACTAAAAACTAAAAAATGAAAAGTAGACTAGGGAGCACATTTGTTAGTTTTCCTGACTTAATCATTTTCAGGACACTCAAACCGTCGAGAATCAATAGTATGTTCAAGCATAGATTTAGCAACAAGTAAATACGTATCTTTACCAAGCGATCAATTCAAGCATAGTAGATCCATACACGGGAGGCTGCCGTTCAGTATCAGTTTAACTTCCTTATAGAGATGTAATCTCGTGTGTAAGAAGTACAATGGAGTAAAAAATGCTCTCTTGACTCAATGCTATCGCAAACACACAATTTAGTGTCTGATATGTTTTTTGTAAATAGATCAAAATTTAATTGAGAAAATATTGTCACTTTTCAAGTCTAAGAGATTATTAGGAGTATTTCAAGCCATTTGCGAGGTACGAGACTTCCGAAAAAATAACCGTGCCTGTCGATAACACCAGAGCTACCTTAAAAGCACTCGCTTATCGTAAGTCAATAGTTACTACTCGACTGTGACGCGGAATACAATGCCTTCACCCGCAGTGTACTCATTACAATCCTCCGAAGAGGCATCCGTGTATCAGACCATCGACTGAATTTAGCGAATCACGATTGTTCTGCGCTTACTCACGATCCACTTCGCGCAAAGTGGGAGTTCATAAATTAATGTTAGCTAGCGAGCCGAGGAGATCATCACAAACACTCTTCATTCAGAAAGATCGGTTTATCGTATCATGCAGTAACCAGGGATCCCAGATCCAAAACACGAAAATCAGAAAAACCTGAAAAAAAGAACTAGAAAATCAGTAGGCCTTAGGGCAGAAACGAGGCAGAAAAAGTTTCAAAAATCAGAATTTGTCTGCCAAAATCAGAAGATCTGGGATCCCTGGCAGTAACTTAGTTCGTAATCCTTTATGGTGATAAAGTGAGGAAAGAACCGCGTGTGCATTGATTTAAGCCTAAACCTGAAAATGATTAATCTTCGGAGGCATCTTATCAGCCTCATCTGGTTCATTATTCAACTGTTCTCCATGGGCTGAAGTTATTTCATTTGTCTTCGTTCCAAAACCTTGAATTCCACTGACAGCAAGATACGCCAGTATACTACCTAACAACGGCCCAACAATGTACACCCAGAGACTGTGACGATTGTCATTACTATTATTGATAATAGACGGTCCGAGTGTACGAAATGGGTTCATCGAGGCGGTTGACTTTGATCCGCCTATCAAAGACTCCACTGCAAGTGCAGCGCCAACAGCTATAGCTGCCTGAGAACCGATAACACTTGCCTTTGTTGCCGTTTGCAGTATCACAAACACCAGACAAAATGTTAAAAATATCTCCCACTTAAAAGCGTTCGCTAGACTTGAAGTTAAGAGGCTAACACTACTCGTCGCTAGTGCTGCGTACTGTCCGCCAAAGAGTCCACGTATCAGCAGTCCGCCAACAATTGAACCAACAAATTGTGATAGAAAATAGAATGGTATCCATTGCCATGGAAATACGCGACGTAACGTAAATGTGAATGTTACCACAGGATTGAAATGTGCTCCGCTTATTGCTCCGAGTGGATAGATTAAAAATAGGATTGTCAGACCATTGTTAAATGCTGCACTCTCCGAAGTAATTAATTTTAGTCGTGATTCTAAGAGATTAGCACCAAGCACGGTTGTTAAGATCATCGTGCCTATGAATTCCGTGAATAAACGACGAAAGAATTCTACTGTTGCACGTTTAAAATCAATATGAAAGTTTTCTTCATCTTCATCCTGTTGTTCCCGATCAGAATGATGACTGTTCTGATTATGCTGATTGTCTTCTCTGGACGTTGCTCCACGTTGAAGACGTTTAGCTTCAGCTATCAGAGGAGGTACGACTAGATAGTGCCATGTCTTACGCAAGTACCTTCTCCAGAAATGTTATATAGACGGTGGTGCTGGATATCCTATTGGTGCACGTAGACTAGTTTTATTCTGCGACGAAATGATGTCTGATCGAAACGCTAAACAAAAAATGAATAGAACAGCGTTTGAAAGCGGTTTCTAGTGTACAAGACACACAGAAGTCAGAGAGTGCTTGAGGCCTGAAAATGACAAAACTCACTTCTATTCGATGACGGCGCTGAACCTCTTAATCTCGAGGCTACCGTTTGCTTAACATAGGTGTTGTATAGCATAGTGTCGGTCGACGATGATGACGATCGCTGCTGCTGTAGGAATCTCGATCAACACTAGAAAAATTCGTGTTCTTCGTTCTCGTCCGTGTTCTTTTACAAGAAAATAGTCATCACGGCATACATCTAAAAAGAACAAGAAAGAAGTAAGATTTAATTTTTGTTCCGAAGAATTCCTTCATTATAATTATTTAATTTAAATTAAAGGGAAAAAAGACACTTAAAAGACAATAGTATTAATAAAAGTATATATACAACCTGAACGGTTTTTATCATTTCATCGATTGGTATCATTGTTCATCGTGATCAGCATACTAAAAGGTAAACCAAGAAATTATTTATTTATTATACAATAAAATTCTTACTTGTTGACCGTCGAAACAGTCATCATGCTCATTGTAGTTTTTATTAAATGTAATAGAAATAAAGGCAATAATCTCGCATTGTTTCACCTTTCTCCACTTGCAACAATTTATTGTCATTTTATTGTCATTCCTAAGACGAGACGATGTTCGATCGAAACGCTGAACGAGAACGTGACATCTCAGTTTTATTGACGGAAACCTCGATCTCCAAATCACTGAAGAGCGTGGTAAAGATAAATCGAAGTTTAAAGCGCAAACATCGTGGTTTAAGAAACTGATACTCTGAGCGGTATTCACAGAGCGACGTTTAGACCGAGTTTACCGAGGTATATGAAACAGTAAAAAAGCGTGGTTTCAGATACTGCGGTTCATTCTCACTAAACTGCATCCCCTTAAAACGGTTTTCGCCGGTAGCGCCACCGCAATTCTATCCGATCAAAACGCGTCTTCTCAGAACCGTGGTTTTCATCGGTTTTTCAAACCGCCGTTTGGATCGAAGAAATCGCAGATCGTCCTTACCGTGGTTAACGGCGGTTTTCGGAATGACGGTGCGGTTTGGTACTAGAGGTGTGCAGGATCACCCTACCATACCTTGTCCTAGGGCGCAGGTTGAGACGTTTGTCATAGACTGTACCCTATGAGATAAAGAACGGTTAGTATTGAGAGATATTTGCTCCTTAAGTGGTGCATGACTTCGTTATCCATCTATGCCTGTTGTTATTGGATGTGGATGTGAAGTTTTTGAATAAAACTGTAGCTAGAAAAACGAACCTCGATCGCTGAACGAATGATCCCTGTTTTACTCTTACTTTCTTACTGGTACTCTGTAAAAAAAGAAAGGTATTTTAGCGAACCTAGAACAGGTTTAAACATTTGTCACCATCTATATACTTTTTAACGTTTCGTACAAACTATATACCTGACCAGCACCCTAGATCCGTGACTGGGAATCCTGGGAAGGAAAAGCGTAGTTCGACTGCGGGAACACTACTCATGCGAGGTTTTGCCAGTAACAGATTTACGGTGCTGTACGAAACCTTAAAAAGGTATATAGATGGTGACAAAAGTTTAAACCTTTTTTAGGTTCGATAGAGTACCCTTTTTCTTGGGGTAGTGTACAAGACACACAGAAGGTCAGAGAGTGCTGACAGCTGAAAATGACAAAACTCACTTCTATTCGATGATGGCGCTGAACCTCTTAATCTCGAGGCTACCGTTTGCTTAACATAGGTGTTGTATAGCATAGTGTCGGTCGACGATGATGACGATCGCTGCTGCTGTAGGAAACTCAGTCAACACTAGAAAAAATTCGTTAACAGCACAAGCTAAGAAAAAAAGACAATAAATTACGAAACTATTGTTGTCTGTGTATTCTACGTAAGACGAAATAAACGCAATGATCTCGCATTGTGATCTCACCATTTTCCACTGTCAATAATAATAATAGAAGAGAAACAAAGGAATGACAATAAAACGCTTTCTCTGTGTATATGTAAATGGCACTTTGTTCCTTTGTTTCTCTTCTATTATTGTTATTGACAGTAGAAAAAGGTGAAACAAAGGAATAAAGTGACATTTGCATATACACAGAGAAAGCGTTTTATTGTCATTCCTTTGTTTCTGTTGTATTATTGTTATTGACAGTGCAAAAAGGTGAAACAATGCGAGATTATTGCATTTATTTCTTCTTACGTAGAACACATAAACAACAATGGTTTCGTAATTTACTGTCTTTTTTCTTAGCTTGACCGAATTTTCTTCTAGTGTTGACCGAGTTTCCTACTTTGTCGAGAAAAAGATAAACGTCTGATATTTGTCCTGCAGGGCAACGCGTCCTGATGTCAGGGCAGGGCAGATACCTTTTTACCATGATACTTTTTTTTGAGTCATTCTTTAAACAGGACAGGACCGCACAATACCGGGCGGCAGGGCAGAACAGGCCGAAAATAAGTGCCCTGTGTACATCTCTGCCGAGAACAGATGGCACATTCTTAACGATTATTGAAAAATATTTTCACTTCACGACAGACCTGTCGCGAAAATAACTCTTTTTGTTGCAATGTTAGTT